AGCAAAAATGGATATGAGAATTAAAGATTAAAAATGCAGCAAGGGCAAGACATAGAAACTGGAAACCAAGCACTGGTAAATGACAGTATTGGAACAAATTCTTGAAATTTGATGAGGCATGCACCAGGTTGCAATACCAATGGACAGACACATGCAGGGGAATCAACTACATTATAATGGGGTATGAAACTATCTGGAGTGACATGTGCCACATTAACTAAACAAAAAGACCTGTTTCAAATCTATATGCACAGATTTCTATTTCAGAACGAAATAGAAACTAGTGAAGGTCTTCCCCTAATTAACAGAGGGAATACAGCCAATTTCCATATAGAAAAATACAGCAGATCCCTGCCCAGTGTGATCTTGTTGTCCTCTCCTCCTCCCTTCTGCTCTAAGCCTAACAGGGGCAGGGGGGTGAAGGCATGAGACCAGAGCATGCAGACATGGCAAAAAAGAGAAACAATCACTCTTAAGTAACAAAGGGGCTTGCGCCCCCTTTGTCCATTAGGATCGGCGTCTGTTTCATTTTTTATATGAAGCATGGTGCTTGCATCACTTTTGTTAATTCCTCCAATGTGTTTAGTCATATGATATGTTGTTTTCCTGCAGTGTGAAGTAAACTTTGCAAGAGTGGACTTGAAGTCCAGTAAAAAAAAAAAAAATTATTTAGTATATACTGTATATTTTTTTTTAATATTGGATAAGAAAAACTGCCACAAGATGCATTAATGGATTTTGTTGCCCATGTTGGATTGCAGGTCTGCTTTAATGAAGCTGTTATTAAACAAGTAAAAATATGAAGCTTTGTAGCCATGCCTTTAATGCAGGCATATTAAATACTGGCTGGAAGCCTATCCTGTTTGACACAAAGCCATATCTGGGACAGACTTGCAGAGAATTACATAAAGCATATGTCCTTGAAAACAACAATAGTATGCAGAATTCAGCATATTCACATCTAGGAAGGTTTAGAGATGTCACATAGCTTGTAATCAGATATAAGCAATTGAAGTGACTGATGAAAACCATTTATTACATGGTCATCAGAATGTTAATGCATGATTTGACCCCGCTAATGATCTTTTCTTTACCAGTGATTATCACACAAGAGGCTCATGCTGCAGAAGCATGCTTTCCTATTACCCTGTCTGTAGATCAGTCAGTACATATCGATGTACAGGGAAAGCAGGAAGGTTTGCATGGTGCAATTATACCAATGCTTTATTTAAATTTACTGTCTGCAAGCATGAAGCTGTGGATAGACCTATAACTTTGTTCAAAGTAGGAGCTCAAGCACATGCTGCAGTCCATAATCCAATACTGTCACTTCACAGTCTTATTGAAATGTGTATAACTCTACATAACAGTCATTAGGGGGCATGTCCAAATTTCAACTTGGGCTATCTACCTGTACTCGGATTCAAGGGCTTTCCTGCAACCCCCAATACTGGCTTTCAGACAACCCCCCAACCTCAAAAATAAACTAATCAGTAGGAAACTTCCTTCTAATTATGAGGTCACAAATAATGGAAGCAAACCCTGCAATAAAAAACACTGCAAAACTGTGCAACCAAATCAATCCATCAAAAAGCGTCAGACACTCAAAAGGGATCTTCAGTATCTCCGGATCATACAGCTGCACCTGTAGTAATGTTGTGTACCTTATCCAGTGCAGAAAATGTAGCAAAGGATCTTACGTTGGCGAAACAGGACAGAAGTTGCAAACAAGGATGAATTTGCACAGACATACCATCAAGGAACATAAAGAAGATCACTTCTGCACACCTGTGGGACACCATTTCGCACAACCGGACCACACACTCTGGGAGACCTCAATATTTAGTTCTTAAAGGAAATTTCAAAACTATTTAGGAAAGGAAAACTTTTTAACTAAGAATGATAATTTTATTTGATACAAGATAATGGCCTTAATTTGGACATGGGATTCCTCACTCATTATCCAACAGTTTTACGACCCCCTCTGTGACTGTTGTTGTCCCCCCCCCCCCACACACCAGTCTTTGCTTTTGCTGTGTCTTATCTCTAGTCTAATCCTAGTTTTATAACCATTGCTGTGTACATTTGTTTGTGTGTGTTTCTTTCTGTTTTTTTTTTCTCCCCCTTTCAACATCTCTTCTAACATTCTGCTAAAAATTTGTGAAGTAGTACTGCCTGGACCTTGAAGAAGGGGACATACCCCGAAAGCTTGTCCTCAAAATTGTATGTTAGTGCAAATAAAAAAAGTATCACGTCAGTACTCAAGGGCTTTCAGGGAATGTAAAGAGTATTTCCATATGCAAAAAACAAGCAATAGCATCTTTTACCATTGATCAACCCATTATGAACAGTTTCACTTTTAAACAAAATCCCAGCTCCAGTCTGAGGAAAACAAAATAAAATATTACCCAATTAATAAACCTGGGATTACTGTCATGTTCTATTATCACCATAGGATAGGCAGACATAGGCGTACCTCTCAAAAAGTTCTGGAAAAGAACACTATCTAGCATTTACTGTAGAGGTCAATGGGCAGCAGGATGAACACTGAATATAATAATTCAAACTTTATCCTTTTTCAAACTTTATCTTTTCTTCGTCTTGAAGAAATACTATTCCGCTTACCACTATTTGAAGTATGTTCGTTCAGACTTAAAAAAACATATGTATATTTTCAAATGTACTTTTAGGATTTGATCATGAGCCCTGACAAGAAACACAATTTTTACAAGTCTGTCAGAAATATTCTGAAGAAATATTTTAATATCCATCTAAAAAATGGCTGAACTCTGGCTTCTTGCAAATAAAAAGCTGACATTCCCAGCCAGGCAGATTAAATAGGTTTTGCATATTTGGGATATATCAGATTTCTATCCAATAGATCTGATACATTCAATCTATAGTTAGTAAATCTAAGTTGCCTCTAGCAGTTGGAAAGGTTCTATAAGATTGATGTTGCCAGAAAAATCTCAGCCATATACATAATCTATTATCCTCAAAGGGCAAAAAGTCATTTCAATTACTACAATTTAATTATGATGCCCCAGAGTCAAAATACTTTTGGTGTCTTCATCTTAAACAATTTATTTCTGCACTAGCTCAACTCTTCAAGGCAAAGACTGTTAATTTGTACAGTAGAAAATCCTTACTTGGGAAATTGCCTCTGCAATTATAAAAGCAGTTTGTAGTGCTCCAAATGTGATTCACAACATGACTGATGCAACATTAGATATGCTAGGCTAAGGCAACAACTGCTTAGTCAAGACAAATTCTAAAAGGTCTTTAAAAGTTAACTGGAAACAGAACCAAATTATATCACAAAACATTCTACATGTACATCAGTGTAAAGGCCAATGATTGGCTTCTGCTTGTGTCAGAACTGCTTCTCTCTATATAGGACTATCTCAGAGGTTTCTCAAACTGATGCTAAAAGCACACTGCATTTATAGTCCAAAGCTAATCAAAACAGACTCTAAATGAGACAAAATTAATCATAGAAATGTTTTTGGAGTAAAATGGTCTCCCCTTTCATTACAAAAGCTGGAAAACAGTGGGTATTGCCATGTAGTGGTGATCCAAGACTTCAGACCAGCACTGATCAGCTGTTTTCAAAGAGCCATAAGGTAGCTAAACAAGTCACAGCTATTTTTTTTGGCGATACAAAACTTGGAGAAACCTACTGAAATAATTTTTTTTAACGGGAGATAAAATTTTAGTGAAAATGTATTTATTTTCTCAAACTAAGATTTTCAAATCTCATCACAGAGAAGCATCAGAGAAAATGGAGGAATGGAAGAGTAGATAGTAGTTGCATGCATGCTTCTTTTCTCTAGAAAACAAACCGCTGCTCTTCAAAGCCATGGTACAGGTTTTTTAATACGGTTTGCCCTGTAATATATTTGCTATGTATTTTTTATGGCATTCATTTATGGATACAATGGATTTTATGTTTTAGCTTGTGAAGTTTTTTTAGGTGCAACCAACAGATTTCCACACAGATATTAGCTTATGGCGGTGGTCAATATATGCAAGTTTTTTTTCTTCTTGTCAAACAGTGCCAAGGTAATAAACACAAGCTCTATTATGATGCAGGAAGGACACACTTTTTAAAGATGATTTTCTGGTAACCACACAATACTGCAAAGGTATCAATTATCTAATGCATTTATATCCTTATTTATATAATGCTTACAATGGATGCGGCACTTAAAATAATTGAATTGAACACTGTGAGGGAAAAAGATTTACAGGGCTTTGTAAGTGTATTAGAAAAAGGGAGTCACATTTATAAGTGAATACCTGCCCTTTGAGCTCTATGCATTTTATGCGGTGACTTAGTTAAAAAGCTAGTATATTAACGGGGAAGAAAATGCATAAAATAAAGGTGCAGAATACCTAGAATTTACTTGAGAATCTTGGCAGGAAAGAAACAAAAGTGCCTCTACCAATTTTTTACAATAACAGCGATGAATCAAAAACAAAAGGTTATCTGTCCATGCTGTGACTCATATCAAACTTGTTTTTTTCTTAATCTGATCAGGATATTTAGTTGTACATGTCATTATGTTCTTTCAATGGTGCCACACATATGTCATGTTAATATGGATGTCTTCAATCCTGTTCAAATTTTGACTTAAATTGATACTTACACTACACTTATTTTTTTTATCATGTTTACTTAAGTTTAAGTTTCTGCATACTTTAAAAAAAAAAAAAAAAAATGATGAAACATGCACACATCAACAAATTTCAAAACCTGTGACTCAAACTTAACCTGTCCTTTTGACACTTTCTGTTCACATGTAAAAATCAGTAATTTTTGCTAGAAAATTGCCTAGAATCCCCAAACATTATACACTATATTGCTGTATTGGGACACCCCTCCAAACCATTGGATTCAGGTTTTCCACCTCCATGAACACCTAGTCATGAAGACTGCTTCTATAAACATTTGGGAAAGAATGGGCCACTCTCAGGAGCTCAGCGAATTCAAGCGTGGTAATAAGTCCATCCGTGAAATTTCCTTGCTACTAAATAATCCACAGTCAACTGTTAGTGGTATTATAACAAAGTAGAAGCAACTGGGAACAACAGCAACTCAGCCATGGAGTGGTAGGCCACGTAAAATGACAGAACAGGGTCAGCTTATGCTGAAGCGCACAGTGCCCAGAAGTCGCCAACTGTCTGCAGAGTCAATAGCTAAAGACCTCCAAACTTCATGTGGCCTTCAGGTTAGCACAACCAGAGTGCATAGAGAGCTTCATGGAATGGGTTTCCATGGCCGAGCAGCTGCATCCAAGCCTTACATCACCAAGTGCAACACAAAGTGACGGATGCAGTGCTATAAAACACACCGTCACTAGACTCGAGTGGAGACATTTTCTCTGAAGTGATGAATCACAATTCTGTCAGGTGTTTTGATGGACATGTCTGGGTTTGGCGGTTGTCAGGAGAACGGTACTTGCCTGACTGCATTGTGCCAAGTGTAAAGTTTGGTGGAAGGGAGATTATGGTGTGAGGTTGTCCATCAGATGTAGGGCTTGGCCCCTTTGTTCCAGTGAAGGAAACTCAAAAGGAATCAGCATACCAAGACATTTTGGACAATTTCATGCTCCCAACTTTGTGGGAACAGTTTGGGGATGGTCCCTTCCTCTTCCAACATGACTGCACAGAGTCCTGACCTCAACCCAATAGAAACCTTCAGGATGAATTAAAGCAGAGACTGCGAGCCTCACAAATCCACTTCTGGTCAAACATTCCCATAGACACACTCTTAAACCTTGTGGACAGCGTTCCCAGAAAAGTTGAAGCTGTTGAGTTGCAAAGGGTGGGCCAACTCAATACTGAATCCTACGGACTAAAATTGGGATGCCATTAAAGTTCATGTGCGTTTAAAGGCAGGCGCCCCATTACTTTTGGTAATATAGTGTATATATTTTTAAAGCCGAGGCCCTAGATAATAAAATGGTGGGTGTTGAAATTTTAAATGTCACACAGTATTTGTGCAGTGGTTTTTCAAAAGCAATTTTTTTGGGGAAAATTTTTTTTTTTTATTAATTTTAACATACAAAAACACAATATAATGTCTAATTGTTTGGAAAAATTTAAAAAGATGATGTTATGTCGAGTAAATAGATAGCAAACATGTCACAATTTAAAATTGCACACACCCGTGCAACAGCGACAAAAGACATAAATTCATCTATAGACGACACTTTAAAAGCCTTTACAGATTACCATTTTAGATTTAAACAGGAGGTCTGGTTCTAGAATTGGTGCCCTCGATGTGACACATTACATGTGTGGGACGATTGCAGGCGCGCTTAACATTTTTAAATTAATTTTGCTTTTTACACTGTTTCTTTACTCTAATCACTTTTATTGTTATTACAGGGAATAAAAATATCCCCTATGATAGCAATAGGCAGTGACAGATACTCTTTATGGAGAGATCTGGGGTCTATTAGACCCGGATGTCTTCTCTGCCCTTTAAAGCATCTGACCTGTGTGATCAGTTGCCTTCCCAATTCTAAAATAGCGCTGTTGATTGTGATGTGAATGCTCATCGCTTCCGGTTTTCTTTACCATAGAGCTGATCAGAGCTGTTCCAGTCTCTGATCACCTCTATGGTCAGTCGGCGAAAGCACTGGCTGGTCACTCAGGTCTTCCGGTGGGATGGGAGAACCTGAGAAAGCTGCAGAAGGCGGTGGGGGGGGGGGGGAAATGTCCCCTCCTGCTACTTGTAAAAGTAATCCAGAGGCTAATTAACATCTAGGATTGCTGTTATAAGAAAGGCAACTCTATAAGCTAGGACTGATTTTATAAGAAAGTCCACTCTAAAAAACAATACTGGGATGATGGTTGTCAAGTGGTGAAAAAAAAAAAAAAGTGAATACAAATCTTACCTATAAGACTGGCTGAATTATCAAACTAAAACATGTGTGACTATTTTGGTAGACATTTATTTAATGATTTTACCATTCAATATGATTAGTTTGATGAAAGATTTGCATCTTTCACAGATCAACTGCACTACATGGGCAGTTTGATCAATAAACAATTGTTTTCACTGAGGCATGATCTTTCCAAGCAGAAAATCTAATAGAAGTCTTTGTTATCATTAGATGGGTAGACAACATCATGGGGTTAATTTAGATGAAAGCATTTAAACTGGCTATACACATTACAAACTGATTTTACAATTTCCATTACACGTACCATAATAAGCAAGGGCCTACTAACCAACCCATTTAAAATCAGGTACTTACTTTCAATCTTTCAATATTCAAAGCTGATTGCATATTGTAGCTGAAATACAACTTCTGATTTAACATTTACAGATAAACACACAAAACTGTGCAATCAGGGAATTTAACAGCCCATGAGTACAACCTGTTCTCCACTATGCAAGCAAATGTATTCACAAAATGACACATTCTGACGTGTCTCTAAAGATCCTTAAAATAGGGACCTCACAATCAGTTCTCATTCACAGGGTCAGTAAATCTACACCAAATCTAGGCAAGAATGATTCTTGAGCTGCATGCAATCCTGACCACAAAAAAAGGAGATAAGATACACTATATATTGCCAAACGTATTGGGGCACCCCTCCAAATCATTGGATTCAGGTGTTCCAATCTCCTTCATAGCCACAGGCATTTAAAATCAAGCACCTAGGCATGCAGACTGCTTCTACAAACATTTGCGAAAGAATGGGTGCTCAGTGAATTCAAGTGTGGTACTGTGATAGACTTATTGCACAGGTGGTAACCTATCTGTGAAATTTCCTTGCTACTAAATATTCCACAGTCAACTGTTAATGGTATTATGACAGAAACAATTGCGTATTGTCCGTGATACTTTTTTTATTAGCACTAACATACAATTTTGAGGACAAGCTTTTGGGGAATGTCCCCTTCTTCAAGGTCTAAGCACTACTGCTCACAAAGTTAGCAGAATGTTAGAAGAAAAGAAAGAAAAAAAAAAAAAAAAAAAAAAAAAAAAAAAAAAAAAAAAGGAGGCGGCTAGAGAAAAGATGCAGTCAAAGCGAGGGGGGGGGATACTACACTCTCACGGAGGGAGTAAAGCTACAGCTAATAGTCATAAAAATGTCGGATAATGATTGAGGAATCCCATGTCCAAATTAAGGCCCTTATCTCGTGTCAAATAGAATTATCATTCTTAGTTCAAAAGTTTTTCTTTCCTGAATGGATTTGAAATTTCCTTTAAGTACTAAAACATTGAGGTCTCCCATTGTGTGGCCTCGTTGTGCGAAATGGTGTCCTGCAGGTGTGCAGAGGTCATCTTCTTTATGTTCCTTGATGGTATGTCTGTGCAAATTCATCCTTGTTTGCAACTTCTGTCCTGTTTCGCCAACATAAGATCCTTTGCTGCATTTTCTGCACTGGATAAGATACACAACATTACTGGAGGTGCAGCTGTATGATCCGGAGATACTGAAGATCCCTTTTGAGTATCTGACACTTTTTGATGGATTGATTTGGTTGCACAGTTTGCAGCGTTTCTTATTGCAGGGTTCGCTTCCATTATTTGTGACATCATTATCAGAAGGAAGTTTCCTACCGATTAGTTTATTTCTGAAGTTGGGGGGTTGTCTGAAAGCCAGTATTGGGGGTTGCTGGAATATTTCTTTCAGAGTTCCATCCTCTGTTATGATGGGTTGTAAATCTTTGATTATTTTTCTTATCCCTTCTAGTGCTGGGTTGTATGTGGTTACTAGAGGTACACGGTTGTTTGTTTTTTTCTCCTTGTACTGAAGCAGATTTTCTCTTCGGGTTCTTAAGGCTGTGTTTATGCCGTTGTTGATAGTTTTGTCCTTGTAACCTTTCTTATGGAAGGAGTCTGCTAGTGTCCCGAGATGTTTCTCTCGGTCTCTTGGGTCAGAACATATTCGGTGGTATCTGATGGCCTGACTGTGTATGATGGCACGTTTCGTGTGTTGGGGGTGGAAGCTGGAACTGTGGAGGTAGTTGCATCTGTCAGTGGGTTTCCTGTATATTGAGGTGTGAAGCGTATCATCCCTGATGTATACTGTGGTGTCTAGGAAGTTGACGTGTGTGTTTGAGTATTCCATTTTTAGTTTGATTGATGGATGAAAAGTGTTGATCAGTGAGTAAAATTTTTTAGGTTTTCTTCACCTTCTGTCCATATGATGAAAATATCATCAATATAGCGATTGTTCCATGCTGTTCAGGAATTTTTCCTCCAGGTCAGCCATAAATAAATTGGCATATTGGGGTGCCATTTTACTTCCCATACATTGAATATAGATGTCTTTATTGAAGGCAAAGTAGTTGTGTGTAAGTATGAATTCAATGAGCTGTGTAACATCCTCAGCAGCGTATTTGTGGTTTGGTGAGGATGATAAGGATCTGTGACATGCAGCTAATCCATCCTTATAAGGGATATTCCTGTACAGGGATACTACATCCATAGTCACTAGAAGTGTATTAGATGGTAATTGCTGTATGTTGTTGATCTTGTTCAGAAAGTCAGTTGTGTCTTGCAGGAAACTAGCAGTATTCATAACTAACGGTTTTAAAAATATCTTCTACAAAGCCTGAGATTTGTTGGGTGAGTGTATTCATACCTGTTATGATGGGTCTGCCTAGATTTCCTTGCTTGTGGACTTTGGGTAGCATGTAGAAGTCCCCGATTTCTGGATGATCTGGAATCGCATTTATAAGTTCTGAATGTAGGTGGGCTGGAAGTGTTTTAATGAGACCTTTTAATTGCTTTGTAAAGTCCTGGGTCGGATCATAATCCAGTTTTTTATAGTAGATGGCATTTTCCAGCTGCCTCTGGCCTTCTTGTATGTATTTGTTTGTATCCATCACAACAACTGCTCCCCCTTTATCCGCTGGTTTGATGGTGATGGCCTGATTATTGCGCAAATCGTGTATAGCCCTTCGCTCTAGTGGTGAAAGATTGTACAGAATTTTCTTTTGCTGGGTGGATATCAGGGATGTAGCTTGCAATCTGAAGCTATCAATATAGGTGTCCAGTTTGGGGTGTGTCCTTGTGGAGGTGTGAAGCAGCTGTTCTTTTTCTTTGTGTAGCACTCCATTGTCCTAGGATTCCTTTCATTATTGTGGAAATATTCTTTGAGCCTTAGTCTCCTGAAGAAATCCTCCATATCTGACAATACTTGTAAATGATCCAATTTGGTGGTTGGGCAGAATGTAAGGCCTTTGGAGAGGATGGTTAATTCTGGTTCAGAAAGTTTATGATTTGACAAGTTAATGATTCCAAGTTCCTCTGTTATATCCACATTTTCAGTCAGGTCAGCATTTACACAAGGGATACCTTGGGATTCCGGATTAGATTCCAGATCACTGATAGTAGGAA